CTATATGGTCGGTGGGTGGCAGATGTCTTGCTCGACAGACTGTGCAAAATTGTCCCACTTGCAGATGCTTTCAAGGTAAAACGCTCAGTCCACTGACGGGCAACCTTTATTCCCAGCGAGTGACGCCGGCATTTTTCTTCCAGATGGTAGGATTCGATTTCGCTGGACCTTTCTCTATGCTTAAAAAAAAGGGCCGTAGAGCTAAAATTTTGAAATGATATTTATGTTTGTTTATATGTTTTGGCTTTAAGTGCGTTCATTTTATGCAGTAACCGAGTTAAGTAAACAAGCCTTTCCGCTGTTTCTACGTCGATTTGTTTCGCGTAGAGGTAAGCCACTTGAAATATTTTGTGACAACGGTCGTAATTTTGTTGCTACCGCGAAAGATATTGATACGTTTTAAACACTACTTCTGATAATTTATATGACATTGCAGCTAATGAGAACAGAGAATTTAATTTATACCTGCACTAGCTGTTACTCGCGGCTTTGCCCGCATGGTCACTGGGAAATGAACTATCCATTACTTTTTGAATTGAAAGAAAACTGAGTTTTATAGATTTTTCAGAGATGCAGCCATTAAAAGGAAACTGAGCAAAATTGATTCGTCAGCCTATTTAAATGTTTTGAAATGCAGCGTGTAGGAAAGCATAAAAATAGCCTTTTTATACCAAATGGAAATGGGATATTTTTTTAATTAAATGAAACTGAGAATAATTATCAGTCAGGGATGCAGACTTTTGAAAAGAAACTGAGCTAAATTGATTCTCAGATATGCAGATTTCTGAATTGAAAGGAGGTGCGAGAGTGCAGCCTTTTGAGTTGAAAAGAAACTGAGCTAAATAGGAAATTTTGAATTGAAAGGGAAGATCTGTGGGAATTTGGGAAAAAACTAACTGAACACTATTTTAAGACGGTACTGTACACAATGTTATATGTTTTTCCATTCGGCGAAAGAATGTGGAGATTCTGGGCATTTGGCATACGCGAACATGCTACATACAGCTGACCATGACAGAAGCACGGTTTTTCTAAGTTGACCACCGCTACCTGTATCGTTTGCCCTTGCGCTTTATTAATTTTCATTGCAAAACTGAGCTTAATAGGGAACTGCAACCTTTTGAATTGAAAAGGAAGATCTGTCGGAATTATAGGGATCCGTGGTATACTAACATTTTCACCTTTTCCTACGCCTGTCAAAATTGTAGTAGCACCGATTATGTTCCGTCCAAGATGTGTCACACGCAGCCTTGTCCCGTTACATAACCGAGGAGCATCTAAATTTCGCATTAGCATGACTGGGACGCCTAATTTTAAGTGAAGCTTATGTGAGGGCACATATGACAACTCTAGAGAATTTAGAAACTCTACGGGATACGAAGTGCTCTGTTCTGCGTCCATAACTGTGTCTACTGACAAATACTCTGTTATTTCTCCTGCTACTTCGCTTAATGTATCTGAATTTATTTTGTTAACGCTCTCATTTTTTGGTGCAAGAATCGCCCTTTCACATAACCATTTGTCTTCATGCATGTTGTTTGCTAAATCTGAATATAATAATATAATAATAAAACTATTAATATATTATATAATAATAAAACTCGACGACTGAGGAATTAATTGCGAGCGTTTGCTCGCAATTAATTCCTCAGTCGTTCAACTATTCCATCATTTTCTGTAACTTATACATACTGTATACAATAAAATTATGTGCAGAAAATTTGAGGTGTTTTAAATACATTTCATGAAAGTCCGCTTAGAAAGGACATTAGTTCTGGGTCCACAATGTTCGCCTAAGAGCCAACATTAAAAAAAATACCTTTTTAAGTCATAAATTATTAATTGTATGTTAGAACAATAATCTACGGATTCCGAACCAGTTATGTGAGATTTTGAGGTTATCTTTTATTTTTATGAAATATTACTATGTTATTGCTAACGTAAGCAGTAAATAAAACTCAGGTTGTGATTAGGTATTTATTTTTCCAATTAAATACAATTTATACACTCTTGACGTAATGATTTATCAATCATCTTACATTCGAGCAAAATATTATTCAAGAATTGAGCAGGGGGTTGATATTTTCTTGGTATCGAGCTACCTTAAATACCATATTATAGTTATATCATGGCGCAGCAACCTATACTTCTGCGTCCACAATTACAGCAATATTTTTATTGCCTCCCCAATTTCTGACTCATCAACTAAAATATATACAAAATAAGTTTTACTACTAATATGGCGGCTGTGTATTCATCAGAAACAAAAAAAAACAGAAACGTATGTTATTGCAAATGTAAGCAGTTCAGTCTTAGTCTAGCATTTATACGGTAAATAAAACTCAGGTTGTGATTAGGTATTTATTTTATTCATATATAAATACAACATATACACTCTCATTTGGCATCCAAAGTAAAGATGTATGATATTGATTAAAACTAATTTTACGGATTTTATCGCGTTTAATTTTAAATTTAATTATTTTTATTTTTAATTCCCGACGTTTCGGATGCTTTCCAGCACCCATGGTCACGGGGGACTGAAGTGACTGATGTCCTGATGTCATTGTTAAAACCGGAGTACCTTCAGCTTTTTTAATTATTGCTTATGGTCCGATCTATGCAAAATGAACTGACTATATCTTGAGGTCTTGCAGTGGTATGCTTGGGTTTAGTTTTAATTTTATTAATTATAGGGTCCCAAGCAGGTGGTAGTACCCAGCCTCCTTCTCTATTGAAATTAGGATGTTTTATTTTTAATTTTAATAGCCTCACGTATTATCCGTGGTAGGAATCGATGTTCTTTCGCGAGAATTTGTGGTCTATCAAATATGATGTAATGATTGGGGCCGTCTAGGATATGACCACAAACTGCAGAATTCCCGGAACGTTAATGCTTCACATCAGCTATTTATGTTCTATTACACGGGTTCTAATTGACCTTTTTGTTTGTCTTATATAAGCGAGACCACATTCACGATCAAGCTTGTACACTCCTGCATCTTGTAGAGGAACATGACACTTGACGGATGGTAGGAATTGACTAATCTTCTTCGGCGGCTTGTAGAATGTTTTAATAGAAACTCGCTTCAAGATGTAGCCAATCTTGTGTGTCGAGTGAGCTCGACTGTGGCCGGCTCGACTCGGCCACTGAGACGTAGGTGCAAGACCCGAAGCTTGTTGTCGTGCAGAACTTGCTTGACGTGCTGAAGCTCGGCGGCCTGGTGTTCGCTGTCACAGATCTCTCGTGCTCTCTGTACCAAATATTTGCCCACGGTAGCTAACTGTGAAGGATGGTGGTGAGATTCACCGTTTAAATATCGGTTTGTATGGGTCTTTTTTCTATACATAGTGTGACCTATGGTGTTGTTAGGATTTCGGATGACAACACATCTAGGAAAGGTAAGGAATTATTTGCCTCTAACTCCATAGTAAATTGAAATGACTTATATTATCAATCATCATTACTTTTGAGCAAAATATTATCCAAGAAATGTGGCCGGGGGTTTGATATTTTCTTGGTATCGGGCCCAACTTAAATACTGTTGCGCGCCTAAGTAGACGTCAGGTACACGGTACTAGCGCTATCGAATGTCGGGGACCAGAGCAAGGAGGGCTTCCTAGAAAATGTCAATCTTGAATTTCGACCAACAGGGCCATCTAGTATCGAACATAAGAATTAAGCTTTCTAGAAGCCCCACACTCGAACTTTCTGCGTCTGGTCGGTCGGCGCCCGTATCTACGGGAATATTCTGGATGTTTCGGTGTAAACGTGTATTTAAACCCGCTGCATGCTACGACCGGGGCAGTATTGAATTTGGCGAGGCAAGCGAAGCTTCGGAGCGAAATAAAGTGAATCAGTGTGATTAATTATTAGTGTTTTAAGTTTAATTGGTGTTCGGTAATAGAAGTGTAAATTTTGGTAATTCAATCGGCATTTTTTATTGTAACTAACCTCAACCTCATAACAATACCATATTATGGTCATAACACGGGCGCAGCAACCTATAGTTCTGCGCCCAACAACACAATTACAACAATATTTTTTTATTGCCTCTCTCCCCATTTGTGACTCATCAACCAAAATGTATACAAAATAAGTTTTACTACTAATATGACGGCTATGTATTCTACCTCTCAAGAGCCATACATTTTCAGAATGTAGTAAATGTAATTCACTAATCAACTCCTGTTTGACCTCCCTGCAAACTTCAACAACATAGTTACTGTCTCGACAAACATGCCATAATATGACCAGGCTTGTTTTATTTGGTAAATCCCTAATGATATTAAAACCAAATCATTATATTCCAATTTGTGGAACACTATGAAGGTTATTTATTTGAACATTCATGCTTTCAAAATGGGCCTGTTTTCTATTTAAATTATAAATTTCTACGATATCTGCCAATGTATTTTTTGTGAAAATTTTTTCTTGGATGACCGAAACAATTTCTCTTACATCATCTCTGTCAACTAAAAGAGGATGAAACTTATTTAATAACGCTGCCGCGACCTTGATCTACCATTAAATGTTTTGAAGCTTTATTAAAATACTACTGTCTAAACAATTTAAACTCTCTTTTAAATCTCCCACTCACAAACTCAATGACCCACCGATATAATGTCACTTTTCAAGATTCGTTGGCATTTTGTGTACTCATTTGAAACTCGCCTGGTTGCAGAGACAGACGGAAATGCACTGTGTAATTTAAGTTTTATAACAATGAAATACATTCCCTAAAACCTCTGTCCAGAATAAATGCATCTCCTTCTCTAAAATACCGCCGAAGAAGTTGTGAAGGGTCTCTGAACTCATCTTTTAAAATGTCAGCATCAGATGTTGTAGCAGCAAACGGGCCTAGCACATCAATTATATAACCATCCGCAACATACAATGAGGAATGGTTTCACAAGATTTCTATACTTACGAAGCGAATAAGTCTTCTTTTGGTACGAATAATTACTACTTTTTTGTACATAAATGTATGTGCCATCCATTATTGAAATCGCATTTCTATCTTCAATACGATATCTTGGTTTCCGAATAAATTATTTGGAATATACAGATTCTTTTCTGCAACTTGGTGCCTTGACATATGTTCAAGGCCTAAATGTTCTGCCACAAAATGCTCTGTCATAACATCACGAGCTTTGTTTTTCAACTTTGATAATGTACTTCTACTCATGTTCAATAATGTTGAAATTCTGTCGTCTGAATCTCCAGTTCGTAATTTCATCAAGTATGCACCAATTGCTGTGGCACGGTTTTGGAAATCGGGCGACGCTGCTTCTAATTCTCTAAACTGCGCTTTTGTATGTCCCAACCAATAATAGAATACACTATCATCCATTCTATTAATGTCATTAAAATCATTGTGTTTTTATCACCCTTCAATAGTTCACAAAAATATATGCAGTTGTAAAACTGTGATTCACATTTTCTTCGAACAAGTCTGACCATGTTTGTCTCTCTAAATGGAAGGTACATATACGACAATCGCGTGGTATATAGTATTTGTGATCACTAAGAAGCCTTATGCATGTTGGATTTGTTGTGACGTACTTATACAGGTTGAAAATATGAGTGAGAATGAGTGTCAGGAGCCCTTAAGTAGCTAGGCAATGTAATTATGTCAGCTTGTGGCACTGATACTTCAGTTCTTACCTCATTCAGAGTGGTTTCTGCACGCTGATAAGATCTATGACAAACAAGATCTGACGGTTGAACCTCTAAATATATTAACAAAATATTACTTAAATACACAATTAACTCATTAACTCAAATAAAATGCATTATATTTATAATTCATAATATTATATAATTTTTTAACCCGCCGTGGCTTAACCCAATTCTGAATGATGTGTAAAACGTGGCGGTTGATTTCTGCTTGGATTTCGTGACTTCTAGAATTTGTCAATGAACGACCACATATTAGGCATATGTTTTGGTGACCCACAGTAATAGTAGTCTTGTAAGTCTTCTGCTATTGCACTTCTCTCAGATATCAATGTGTGACACACTTTACAAATATAGTCCGTTGAAGTAGCCTGTAATATTAAAAATATTATTATGAGTGGTTCATTGACTTTAAGTAATAAAATGAATTGGCTTTAAGTAATAAAATGAAATGTTTCTTATTTTGCATCAAGCTGAACACTTACCACTCTTGGTGTAATCTGTCGTTTTACTTGTAACAGAATTGCACTATCCTCTAAAATATATCGTCTCATTCTTATCAAATTAATATTACAGTTAATGCATCTCAATGGTACACTTTTGAGGCCGTAGTACCTCTTGATCATGATGGCAAAGAATAATGTTTTGCAGCTCTTTCGGCTCTTTGCCAGCAAGGATGACAAATTAAATGTGATGCACAAACCTAAAATGAAATAAAAATTAAAATATAAAAATTGACAAATAAATAATATAGACTAAATAATATAGAATAAAAGTTACATGCCTGCAATGGTAGAAGACTTTTAAAGATGATGTACATGATGTTGAGTATCAGTCCTCAATGCGATTAATTGATGTGATCGAGTGCGAAGTGGCAACACCGTATTACAAAGAATACAGTTCCTCCCAGCTGCGCCCAAGTTTGTAATTGCTTACAAGTTGTGCATATTAAATCTTGAGGTTGCACCTGGAATTTTAAGTTTATTAGTGAATAAATAAAAAAAACATATTAGATATCTAGATTAAGGTATAATCAGAACCTATTGTATGAAACAAAAAAAATATACAACTTCTTTCTGTTTTATTTAAAAGAAACAGTATCATAACTTACGGAAAGTGGAGCTGTCCATTGTAGTATACAGTGAAAAATCTGTTCCTCTTCCAGCACAATAGAGCCACTTGCTGAACTACAATTCACACAATATGTAGATTTTATCGTCAGTCCGTGAGTTATGAAAAGTTAAAGTCCGTGAATCAAACCAGGTAGGTCGCTAAATACGGGTATCGATATCCGTTGTTTAGACTAGCCGAGTCGTAATTTATAAAAACTTATCACATAACAAACCAACTGCAAAGAGCACTTAGATTCCGAAAACAGTTGTAGAAATGATTTTTTTCAAACGAAACGAAAACGATCGCACGTCTGACGCCTATCTATTTTATCGTCTTGTCATCTGTCAACGTAACGTTTTTTTTTTGCGTGGCACAATGTTGATTGGCCAATGAGAGCACAATTGTATTGTTATTTTAATGAATACTCGTACACATGATTTTACTGTATCCCAATTTCTTGTGGCATATATTAATCTTAGGTATATTTTAAATTATCAACGTTTTCATAATATATTTGAGTTTATGACAACTTTAGAAATACTGTTAAATGTGAGTGAAGGTAATGTGCGATTGGCAAAATCACAGGAGTCCATAGACGCAGCAAATTAATAAAAATACGTACAAAGCTTAAAATCTAAAAAGTCCTTTTTATTTTGACTCCATATTTCAGAAGTGTCCGTTAATATCCAATGAATGTTATCTAATGCATAATTTAGGATAAGAATTTTAGTAATTATCAAATTAATGTTGGTTTTTAGGCGAGTTTTAACAATGTCCTTTACAATTATTTATTATACCCAAATAAAAGTGGTCTGTTCCCTATTACTTATTACTCTTCTAGATTTCATTATTTAAACTTAAATTTAGACACAATAATGTCCTCCTGAGTTAATTTCGGTCACGGTGGCTATCTAGTGTCTGTGATGCTAGTGTTATTACCCAGTTGGCTATTACAGCTTCATCGGCTGGTGTTGCAAAAAGGACGAAATAATGATGATGCCGATGATATTTCCAAATGTTACTATTTTGTAACGGTTTTCACCTATAGTCTAGACAGAGACCAGCCATGGAAAAGCCAGGAATGGGTTATATTGAGTGTGTGCGTAAGTACAGTTGCTCTCTTTATTTACTCACTTTATCGTACTATCTCTCTATTGTCCTCTATTGTCCCCTAGAACACACAGTTCGATGTAATAATAGTAAGTGAGTGAAAGTGACAGTCTTTTTAGAAAGACCGTGCAGATCTGGATGACTATATACTACGCCTAGACGTATTCCTCCGCTCATTTCTGAGATGATTTTAGGGCAGAGAAAAAGCTGCAGTGCTGCTCCGATGCATGTTGTCGGACTTCACATGGCCTTTTCTTTGTTTTTCCTAAATTGACGTGATAAACAAACTTGATGGTAAGTGGCTAATAATCTGCACACCTTTGTATAATCTTGTTCAAGAGGAAAATTCAAAGATGGTTATCCCTTTTTATTTTTTATAGAATACAAGGCAAACAAGAAGATTGTCGCCGCTCATCGACAGCTATATCACGCAAAAGAATCGCAGGAACGTTTCCGGCTTTTGTAAAATGTGTAATAAATTAATTTGTCTTTTTTTCTTCTTTTCTCTTTTTCCAATAATAAGCTTCATTTTATTATTCTAAAAATTTTTGATACAAAAGTTCAAGGTTAATTGTGAACTCAACATTCAGTTTTGGTAATAGTTTCATCTTGGCCGATTCCACTAAGCAGGAATATTACAGTTGTCGAAACATAGGGAATGAAGAATAGTACTGAGTTTATTTATGAAATTGTAGCTATAGCGGAATATAATAAGTATTTTTTATACACCAACGAAGATATAACACAAGTGCAAATGCGTTGATACTCCTGAGAACTAACATAGAATTACTCGCTATCAAATGTAAAAATGTGTTTGGAATTACTCATCACTTACGTATGGTTACGGTGGTAACAGGTAGATAAATAATCAATTCAAACCTAATCTCACCCAGTCATCATCATCATCATCATCATCATCATCATTACAGCCCTTCACAAGTCCACTGCTGAGCATTGGCCTTCCCCAAGGTATGCCACAAAGCACGGTCTTGAGCCACCTGCATCCATCGACTTCCTGCATGTCTTACCAGGTCGTCACTCCATCTAGTTGGGGGCCGCCCTACACTTTGCCTCTCGGTACGAGGCTACCACTCGAAAACCTTTTTTCCCCAACGGTTGCCGGTTCTTCGAGCTATATGACCGGCCCATTTCCACTTATGCTTACTAATTTGTTGGGCTATGTCGGTCACTCTGGTTCTACTGCGGATATCCTCACTTCTAAGTTTATCACGCAGAGAAACCCCGAGCATAGCCGAGCATAGCCCTCTCCATAGCTCGCTGAGCGACTTTGAGCCTCCTCATACGGACAGCAGTGAAGGACCACGTCTCAGTTCCATAGGTCATCACTGGCAACAAGCACTGGTTGTACAACTTAGTTTTCAGGTTTTGATTTATATCTGACGAGAAGATGTATCGTAATTTCCCAAACGCTGCCCAGCCGAGTTGAATCCGTCAATTGACCTCACGGTCGAAGTTGGACTTACCTAGTCCGACTATTTGTCCCAGGTGAACGTACTCGACAACAACTTCGAGCTCAGTGTTCCCAACAACTATGGGCATAGGTGTGGCATGGACGTTAAACGTGAACTTTGTTTTGTCCATGTTCATCCTAAGACCTAGGCACTATTGAGGTCATTGAGCATAGTGCTTAAGTCCTCCAGCGATTCTACCATAAGGACTATATCCTCGGCAAATCGAAGGTGAGTGATGTACTCGCCATTGATATTAACCTCCCGAACACCAAGCGGCCAAATTTGACCGCTTCGATATTTCGTCAATATTCAGGCGGTCAAATACGACCGCACACACCCGCAGCACTTAAACCCATATATAGAGACTTATATATAGAGACTACTTTCTTTGTAAGAAGTTTGACATTATAGAATCATTATGATATTTTCTATCATCTAATGCAATAAAAAGTTAGTTATCTTAAAGACGTTTATTTATAATCTACGTTCATTTCGTACGCCATTTTCGCGTGAATGTTATTTTGTTTATTTTTCTAGTGTTTTATTATAAAATTGTAATAAAAGTTTTCATGTGAATACAATTCATCTTTTTACGTAAATAATTTCTTGAAATAATTGTGATTTTCACGCTGCCGACATTCGCTTGGTATGTTTTGTTTTTGTTATCAAAATATAATAGACTTTTTGTAATGAAGTAAAACCTGACTTTTATATAGATAATTTTTTATAGATTTTATAATGCCAAACTTTACAACGACTATCTCAGAGTTTGTATCAGTATTAAATTGTAATTTCTCTGAGTTGTTTGATGAATTCATCGATTTTAAAAACGACACAAATCAAAAAGTTCTGTATAAAGAAAAAAGGGCAAACAGGGAATATATGAAATTTTGGAGTATTGTTCTCCCAAAATATAAAAACGTCAAAAGATATGCCCAAATACAACTAAATATTCTCTGGGTCTACGTGTGTGCGAATC